GCCTATGGCAACGGGTGGTAACAAGAACAATGAAACTATCGATCCTTCTGGATCGTACAAAAACGATACGTCTGCGGCGATACGCCATAGAAAAGGCGTCTTTATCTGCACCTTCAACGCCAGAACATCTACTAACGCCGACCTCCATGCGCTTTCGACGCTGTGGAGCAGATCAATCCCACGTCATAGCTCTACAGGAAACGAAGATGGGACCCTCATCATTCGTGATAAGAAAGTTCCCTAACGAAACGTCAGTGGTGTTGAAACGTCATCCACTCATCTTGTCGATTAATATGAGATCCTATCACCTCATCTAACTATCCTACGCTTTGCCCTCGTAAGAAGACAGCATCATCAATCGCTACTCTCCAAAATCAGCAACTGAAACAACTGGGCGCTTTTTACAAAGGCGTGGAGGTCGTCCACAATAAGAACCCCTTTTACAAATGCTATGGGCGATTTAATGCGAAGATCGGGATGCCAGTAGAAGGGGGTTAGACCGGGAAGTTTGGATATAGACTCCGGAAGAAAACGGCACGTCCAGTTCGGCTTCTCTCTACTCCACGGCTCTCCCATGAAAGATCCTTTGGGCTTTTCTCGGCTAAGTATGACGGGTCCTTTTCTTCATGAAAACAAAGTTTCATGAAGTACATGACGTCATACTTAGCCGAGAAAAGCCCAAATGCGCCCAAAAAAGCCCAAAACGCTCAAAAAAGCCTGAAAAGGCCCAACAAAACCCGAAAAAGCCCGAAAGCGCCAGAAAGAGCCGGAACGCCGAAACGACTTTTGGTAGAATTCTGACATTACTTTGATGTGCAGAGGACAGAAAATGAATCAAAAAAACTCGGTTGCAATATCAACACACATCTTAGCGCTAAAACTTGCGGGGGGGGGGGTTTCCGGCTCTTTCTGGTGCTTTTGAGTTTTTTGAGCTTTTCGGGCGCATTTGGGCTCTTTTCGGCGAAGTATGACGGATCCCACAGAAACTGCAAGTGGATGGGAAGCGCTTAACAACGTCTCACGCAGAGATCAAGCACATTCTCACCGACTAAAGGTAGAGATTTTTTGAAGTTTCAGGAGTTCCATCCCTTCGCAGTGGCTTTTTTTCTGTTTTCTGCAAGCTCTCCTCAAATAATTTCTTCTCTAAGCGGAAAGTACCTATGAGCTGTGCAGTCCTCCAAAATACCTTGCAACCCTCAACAATTTTGCGTACAGTAAGTTTCGGCCCGCATTAGGCGGAAATTGGATTGGCGGGCATCCGCCTCGCAACAGCTCGCGCCGTTTCGCAGCTACAGTACATCATATCGTGCTAAGAACCGAGGTCTGCGTCTCTCCCTTCTCCTCAGTCCCTGCTTGGCAAAATGCCAGCGCTATGCGCTCGCGAGACTTCCGGCGGTGCATACGCGCCCCTCCTTATGGGATGTTCCGCCTAATTCGGGGTGAAACCGACTGTATTTTCGAGGTCCATCAGAATCCGACCATTGTGCCGCAATCAATCCATGAAAAAGGCGCGAATGTCTTCTAAACGTTTCTCTAAAAAGTGGCCAACATTCTTTCAAATATCCGCAAGCAGACCGCAAGAAAAGCGAACCATTTCTCCGGTGCCCGCTTGCCCGTAGAAAGCATGGCCGCCTACCTCCGACGAATTTCTGATATATGCTAGCTTAAGGTTGTTTCATACTGCCGCACTGACTGCAGCAGTCTGCACTGACCGCAGCAGACTGCAGCAGACTGCAGCTGACTGCACTGACTGCAGCAGACTGCAGCTGACTGCAGCTGACCGCACTGACCGCAACGACCGCAGCGGCTGTAGCATGCAGGCGGAGAGGATAAATAGTTGTGGTTTAAACAAACAACAACAATATAACGTAAAAGCAAAAGACAACACGGTTTAGAATGTTACAAAACAGGTATATGCAATGATAGGAGGAATTAGAACAAATATGAACATACCAAAGAAAACTATCGCCAAAATTTGATTAAGAAGAATTCTGATGGAATTTTTGCTTCTTATGCGTAAATCACGCTGTTTTGGTAATCGCGGGTTTTCTTTTAAAAAAAGAGGCTGCGACCGGTGCTTTCAGTGCGGTCAGCTGCAGTCAGCTGCAGTCTGCAGCAGTCTGCTGCAGTCTGCTGCAGTCTGCTGCAGTCAGTGCAGTCAGCTGCAGTCTGCTGCAGTCTGCTGCAGTCAGTGCGGCAGTCTGAAACAACCCTCAGGTAGTCGCCGGGGCAGTCGAACCGCAAACTCGCGTTTTTTTGCAAGCGGTCAGCAAGATTTTGAAGCACAGGCCAAAACTTCAGCGGGCGGTACTTCCTTTACCGTCGCATATTCTGCCAATGAGCAGCAATTCAAAATTTTCTGCGAGCGCTCGTCAAGTGATTTCTTTCAGCGCGCTCGGACTCTTTTAACGCAATTTCAGGCGTACGCCGAGTAAAGGTATTACTCTATATGGCAGATGTGTCTTCGATGGTTTAATTACTCAAATTTGGGGTACTTTCTCTTAGCTGAAGATACCCATAAGCCGTGCGGTCTTTCACAAAGGAACGTGCGACCCTCAAAATGCGGCCACTGCGCCGTAGCTAATCTAAGGAAACCGCAATTGTTCTCCGAATTCGCCTAAAATTTCGCTAAAATTCTTCCGAAAATCTGAAGCGGACCGCAGGAAATCAGCGAACTATTTTTCCGCGCCCACAAATCGCATGGCCGCTTGCCCCCGGCGATTATCTGAGTTCCTACAGCTGCAAAAGAGCGCCTCTCGTCATCTCTCTTCCGGAGGGGCACTCGAAAAAGGGGTTTTCGCAATTTTCGAGAGTTTGCCGGGCAGAATGGGATTCAATAGGCCAAAAACAGTCAAAGGTATTCAAAATCCCAAAGGTAAAATTGTACCTGGACAGTGCTTTTGAGTCACACTCCCCTCTAATTCGTGTTTCTCCTTCCATAAGTTATACTTGCGTAGGTGTATCTCACACTATGACTACAGGGCAAGGTCACTTGGTCAAAGAGGCGATCAGGAAGGTGATGTATAACAACAGATAAAGCTTAGGATGCTGCTCTCAAACACGCCTTTGATATATGCGACGCATTCTTCTGAAAAACGTTAAAGGCTTCTTTTATGCCAAATTTGCTTAGCTTGGTTGCTAAATTGCAGCAAATTCCACAAATGAGCAGGGAGGACCAAACACAACTGAGTTAGCATCATACGTCTTATGCGTTTTCAAGTGTTTGAACCATGTTTTTTTTTCTATAGGCCGTCACTTTCATTCTTGGCCATCATCAAAGATACAAAAACCCATAACTTCCTTCAGCAAAACGCTCCGCAGATGTGATAGAAGATATATGACCGACTCCAATTCGTATAGGGACGGGTTGCGATTTTCCCGATAAGAACAAAACTGTTGAACCTCCACGTTATATCATTGTTTCTCGTACTCTCTTCTCTTGCTATCAAAAACCGCCACGTTTTGAGCTCCCACGACTCCGCCTCTAACAAAAGATCACGATTTGAGCTCTATCCAGTGATATGCATTCCCCTCCAACATGCCATTTCGACTAAGTGGCCTTCTCCTGTAAGGCAGCACTACAGCTTCGATTGAAAAAATAAACCTTCAAAAGCAATTCAGAACCCACTCCACTTTTGTAAACATAGCTCACTCTGATTTCTGCTGATTATCCTTTCCCAAAAGACGTCCGCGATTCACGTTTTTCAACATCTTTCTAATTGAAGTACAGGACATCAGGTCGCAGAAAGGAAAAAAAAAACCGCGCTGACACCTGCAATGATCACGCGCCTTTCTGTATCCGCCGGAGTTAGCTGTTCGCACGGGGTCTATCGACGATCTTCATCCTCACCCCTGATCGACAACCATCACTAAAAACGCATTTGACATTTGCTGGCGCAAATCTCAATCCAATATTGCTTTCAATGCTGCAATCGCGAATAAGTAACTGTCACCTGTTTTCATTTGCTCCCAATTTTTCGAGTTTACGTCTGAACAACGACAAATCAGCTATATGACCTTCACTCCCCGACTCTAGTGTGTTCACTTTTATTTTGAGAAAAGTAATCTATGAAAAAACACAATGTTAACAATCTTTATTCCTTCCGAAACATCAAAGACGTCATAAGTTGGACTGGAGGATTTTCTTTTCGATAACATGCTGATTTGCTAAAAGTACGCACCCATACTTTTGAAGGAGCCTATAAAATCCAATGTGGCAACTCCCGTAGAAAAAAAAATACGGTCCGCGTATATTCTCCGATAAGCAAGAAATAAGTATAGGCCGCTGCATGACAAAGGCGCAATATCTTAGAGCGCAAACGCGGCTTTATTAGCCGCAGAGCATGAGGCGCAGGATTTGCAATGGTGAAGATACGCGCGCGTCGCGTTCGCGCCCGCTCAACTTCTACTGCTTCTGCACCTTCGTCATGCAATAGCCTTTAGAGTAAGCTGCGAGTTGTAAGATGCACTCCAGCAAAAGTTGATAGAAAGCATTTATGAATCTATTGTGAGGAGGATGTGAGGAGGATGTTACATCCAACCACTTTGAAAAAAGAAAAAAAACAAAAAAAGGCTTTGGTTTTTTGCAAAGCTATCAATTGTGTGACACTGAGTATCGTCCCTTCCACAGTTGCTGCTCTTGGTCTGCGTCTCAGACCTGCTACGTGTGGCTAACATGTTGGCAACGTTTTCAACAACGTTGGCGTCGGCAGAACATTTTGGCCACGCCAACATGTTGTGGCACGTTGCAAACATGTTGTTGCCACGTTGCCAACATGTTAGCCACACGTGACAGGTCTGAGACGCAGATCAAGGGTAGCAGCAACTGTGAAGGGTACGGATATGATCCTCAGGGATGTCCCCGTAGGTATAGGCGTTTCCCATGCGTATAGCGGGCGTGGCTATGCAGATATTTGAACACGTTGAAGAACTTGTTGAACCTCCACTCTAAAGCACTAGTTTTTGTACTCTCTAGCTATCGAAAACTGCTACGCGCATACGTTGGCAAACGTCGGCAAAGCTCCGCCCGCTATACTGTGGGGAAAGGACGATACCACGTCAGCTCGCTGCCTTTCGACTGTTTTGGGATGACGTGGTACCTATGGGAACATTTCTGAAGAACGATACCTACGCCGACCCGTGACGACCCGTTGCTGCTTGGCGAAGCCTGTTGCGCCACAGTGTCCCCATCACATTAATCGTAAAACGGAATAATTTTTCCCAAGAAGTATCTCCAGAAGGCTGTGGGCTTTTTCGCCTTCCAGAATCTAGAAAAAGGCTAATTAGTCAAATTTTTAAATCAGCGATGATTTTGAATTTGAGTGAAACATTGGTTTCATGTGAAATAATCTCGATTTTTATCACAATCTAGCTTTTGATCCTATGGAATTGGCGGCTGAAAGGCGGGGCTTTGGGGCCTAGTCGGCTAGAGAATGATCAGAGAGCATGCTCGTAAGAGAGACGCAGCGTCAGGTGCGAGCGGTGGCCATCCAGCCGCCAATCCCGTTGAATCGAAGGGTATCTAACAATAATAATAAAGCGCAGGGGGGACCATCCGACGTCAACAACCGGCGAAGAATGTTTGCCCAGATCTCTGAGTTAATTCTTGCACTTTCACTTGCTTCCATACTGTTTACCGTTACGACTCAACCTAAGTGCAACCTATGACGTCATCAATGGTATGATGTTTTGCGCCATCTTCGGTTTTCCGTCTGCTTCGGTGATGTTTATCACGACGTCAAGCTAAGTGCAACCCCAATTCATTCGCCTACAAAGCTGTTAGCGGTCGATTTATTTCAACCGCTTTACATTTTGCTTCATTTGCGAAAATAAGCAAACGTCGGATAGCATCTTCAGGTCGGTGATAATACTTAACATCAATATCTGTATTACATCTCCTCGATTCTTTCTTAATTGGTGCACCACATCATCATTGTTTTTATCACTAAACGCATCTTTACGTGCAAAAACAAATCTCAAAATTGAACCTTTCCTTAAAAATCAAGCAAAATCTTATCACTCACTGTCCATTTTCCTATTGTGCACCATTCCATTTTTGTCTTCATTACCAAACGCATCTCATTAAAATTTTCAAATTTTACTCTGAAAAAACTCTTCCGCAAGAATGAAGCAAAAGAAGCGAATGAAGCATGCTGAACGTATCTTCACATGAAAAATTCCTTAAACTCACTTGAAAATCGAACCTTTTTGAGAAAATAGTCAAACATCAATACTGTGCGAACTTTCCAAATTGTTATCCACTAAGTGATATAAAAACATGGTGATGCGAATTGCCTTGAAACACTAAACGTTATGCAAAAAGCTCACTTTGCAAGCAATGCAGGTTCTAAGAGAACACTTCATCTCAGGAAAAAAAATTTAAATTAATCCAAAGACTGAAAATTTCAAAAAAACTGTAAAAGTTACTGTGATGTGACAGACGTTTTGAAAAGAGCTACACGCTGTCTGTCTGCTATCAGTATACCAAGTGTGAACAAAAGAGATGGGAAGAAAGGGACGCTTCACTAACCACCAACTCAACCCTTGCTAACCTCAGAAACATGTAGCTTTTTAGTGCAATTTTGTCAGAACATTGCACTACCTCAAAATCGTATAGACAGCGGTGATATGCTTGATTGAACAGCTTAAATTGGATATACGCTTCATTACTAGCTCTCTTTACGGAAATCGAGTCAATAGCCTACCAAGATGAGTTGGAAAATGGGTGCGCTTTAAAGCATTTCGGGTGGAATTTATAGTCCTATATGGGCGTCTTATATGGAAGGCTTTCCAAATTGTTGAACATTCTGGAAAGCCATATAGGACGCGAACGCGAGCTCTGGCATTAGAATTTTTAAAGCATATATCGTGAAGAGGAAGGGAGGTTTTTCATTTAGGAAATTTCATAATGGTAAGTTAGAATTTTGGCTAAATGCATTCAAGTGCGTTGAGTTGAATCCTCTTGCTGAAATCTCGCAAAGAATTCAGAATAGTTACTTTGAGGCCCATATGCATGGAAACCCCCCCAGTGGCAAAAAAAGAAGCGGCGTCCCCAATGATGAAAAGCCATAGCAGTGTTCACCCGCGGCCCTTTTATGACAAGGGACGTCGCTTACTTCACCCCAGCTTTCATATGGGCCTTCTAAGGCAGTTCGTAGGGACAGTCGATGAGGAGAGCAGAGCCCCGGGTGAAAACAGCCATGAAAATGTACATAGCTGGGAAAAGCTTGCCGGGTTTGTGACCGCCACTTTAGTCAGAAAACTTTCGGATGTGAAAATTTGAGAGTATCCGAGGATTTTCGCAAATGTGGGAATGAGCAACTTTGGCAGCTACAGTTTATGGTGATAACGCTGAAACTTTGGCTCAAAACCGCACACTAACGCTTAGGGCTTGCGCCGCATTTCGCATTGCAGGAGGGTTCAAAGAAAAGGTGGGAACGGACAAGTCCTAACACCGCAGACATGATGCAGAATCTTTGCGTTAAACAGCACATCACATCAATTTTGGCCTGATTCGGTGCACAGACTTTAAAGGTGTAAGGTGCCGCATTTTCTCAACAGCATCTTTGGAGCTAGACTCGAAAGAAAGCGATTAAGTAAGATTGAAAGGATTTGAAAATGCGAGAAAAGACCGGTAGTTTGGGCAGTTTATAAAGGAAACATTTGGATGAAAATTGGGGGGGGGGCCAGTTTGGCTCAGAACTCAGGAATGACAATAAAACGCGAGTTGCAAAGAAAGCTGAGAGGAAGCGATTAATTTATCACTTTGGTTAATGATGTAACTCGGTAAACCACTTAAGGCCCGGACAGACTTCACGCGATTTGATCGTCGCGACTGAATCGCGACGAGACAACTGTTACAACATCATTCCATGCCGATCAACTTGCATTTCGGTTGTGATACTTTTCCAGCCCGAAATTTTTGAATGTGAAATGAAAATGAATGGAAATGTCGGCGATTGAGTCGCGACGATCAAATCGCGTGAAGTCTGTCCGGGCCTAAAGCAGGAGATCCTGACATTTAACTTTGATGATCCCCGAGTTCGTTGAGTGTCTGAGAAATCGCAATACTTTTGGAGGAGAAAAGGTTTCCACGCTCTAACTTTGAGAGTCATATCCCACTTCACACACACAGCCAGTCCGGAGCGCCGCGAAGCGGCGCTTCGGACTGGTCTAACAATAAAACACCATGACCATTGTCACCCCACACTACTCGGAAATGATTTTCAAACCAGTTCATTGGTAGCATTTATACGCGCAGACATTTTCCCCACTCCCACAGCAAGAAGAGAAAGGCAATGGGCCCTTGCTGCATCAATGCAACAGATTTTCTTGTTAGCAGTTGGAAAGCATGATTCGGTGATCTAGCGGGAGCAAAAAGTTGATTCCGTTTCTAAACGAAAAAGAAGTGTGAATTGGCAAATATGGGCAGGTTCTTATTTTTCATAAAACTCTAAAAAAGGCCAAGATTACCTTTTACTACATCAACGCTTCTTGTAATGCTATGCGTAGCTTCTCTCCTCCATCATGGTCACTCGAGGCTTGCTGGCTATGTAAAATCAATCATTTGGGTTGCCATAAGGCGACATATATTTGCATATCATGAATTATCAAGCTTTTCCAGTGAACAATCCAACCGACCTAAAGAAATCATGTATAGAAGTCGGGTTCCCAGATTACTGTAAGCATGTTCTCTTGGTGAACGAACCCACCTTCCTTTCTTCTATAGCAAGACACTTTGACACTAACATCATGATTCTCTAATGACGAACCATGGCACTCAAAGCAGTTTGGAAATCACGCACGACCGCCTAGAAAAGCGTCCTTATTCGGAAAGTTGCTATGAGAATAAATGCAGTAAAACCATAAAAATGGTTTGACTGCAAAACGAAAAACGTGAAATTCTGCTTTCTCAACATATCGTTCTACAATGTCGACCGCGTGTCCATAAAGTTGAGAACATTTAGCAATTTCTGAGGAAAGCTAGAAAGGATGCTGGGTAGCCGTCACTTAAAGTACCCAAAACTGTAGTAGAAAAACTCAACTCAACCTTTTTGACGTGATTTGGAACTAATTTCATAGAAGCAAGAGATACACTTGAAGGCAGCGTCCAAGCAAATATGGACATATGGTGCTCGATTTTTTAAAACGCGTTTTGCCCAGACACTGCCTTCAATGTCAGACATTTCAGAATAGCCCATTTCCAAGTTCATTTTTTTACTATTTCGACAAGAAGAACACACTAACATGAATTTTTCTGGAGTTCTCATATATTCGCGAACGTATAAGGTCAATGGATACCATTTCACTTAATACAACCGAAAAACTCAAAATCATGGGTTTCGCTGGACATCCGATTAGCAAGGAGGGTGGGGAGGGTATTCGACCTGCTGATCACGGATATAATATTTATTCCGCATGCTAAGGCATTCGGGAGGTTAGGGTAAGCCTACGGTATAGGATCAAAATCTAAGATCTCGTTGAAATCCTCTAAGAGGGAACATTCGACATGCTGTTCAAGAACAACACACTTTTTCCACACGAGAACGTCACCCTTTATAGTTACGGTAAGTGTATGGTAGGGGATCAAAATCACAGGCTTTTCTTAAACTTCGCCTGGGAGGGGGGAGGGGGGACCTTAGCACGTAAGTATCATACTAATTTCGTCCACCTGAGATATCATCTAGCTCATGTAAAAAGAAACACACTTTGCAAACTCCAATGAATACGTATAGGCAACTCATGCACGCACAGACTGGACTCTGTCACATCCCAATAAGATAGTTCGTTTATGAAAGAGACAGCAGACGGCAAGGGGGATGAAATGGCACTCAATCAGCCAGACGCCGACAGCGTCCGTAGTGACTAGCTCATTTTGCTTGCGATGAATCGCCTATGTATGATTAAGAGATATGGTTCTCTGATTCGAAAGCGATATAATTTTAGAGAACTCTTGCAGTATAACGCGTACTTAAGCGGAACAAGGAATAAATTGGTAGAAATCAAAACAATTGATCGAGCCTCAATTCATGAAAAAAAGAATCTTCTTAGCATAAGTCACAGTCTTAACAGGCTGTGATTATATCATACCCATTGTTGATTTTGTCATAAAAAAAGTGAAAACTAAAGAGCGAAATCCAAAGGAATACAGTAGTAATAGTTGATGCTTACCTGCTTTCAGCATCATGTTTGGAACACATCCTAATGAGTTCGACATGAATATCACCAAGCAGGAGTCATTCGACATGAGGCCTCAAAAAATCTTCAAATAGAAAGGGTGCCAATCGCAACGTATGCCAATAACTGCACAAAAGCTCGAAAGCTGAAATAGAAAAATAAATATAAAATAGAAACGTTATAAGAAATGATTAGCAGAAACAGTTTGGGCACATCTCAATGGTGCTAGTAGATATCAAGTGGTATAGGAATAAATCCTGAATACTTTCTGGAAGTCCAAGTGGTGGTTTATCCGCCTTTGGCAACTCCAACCATGGTGACCGAGGGCACTCACTCTCAACCATGTTGAAGTTGCCAAGGTTCTGAGTGCAATAGGGCAGACTTGCACACTGGAGGCTTACCACAAATTCATGAACTTAACGTCACCACTGAATAAGATTTATAAGCTGATCGCTACAGCTACACAAGTTTTAGACGACCTTTCGGGAACACCAAAAAGTAAATTATCGTAAACAAGGCTGTCAAGCTCATTCTGAGTTGCACACGAGAGTTTAAAGCGGAGAAAGCTTATGGAATTACTTGAGGTTTGGAATACTCTTCCTCGCTAAATGGTGACTCGAAATCAAAGCATGTAACATAGTTATTATCATCATCATCATCATCGTACATCCACGGTTTCGAGTGTTTGCTTCTGATGACTTTCCTCTACCGCTACTTTTAAGCTTTTGATGAAAAGGGAAGCAACAAAATGCCACTCAGTGTATGGTGATATCATATATTTGGTGATAGGATTTCCGACAACTGGCTAGAGGAGAAGTCAGATATCTGCAAGAGGGAGAAAATTTCCCGAATCGAAACGTCTTCAAACACAAGATGTTACTGGCAAGCTGAAGATTCAGAATTACAGTTCTAGCACAAAATACCTCATTAAGAAATCGCAACGATTACTTCGAGAATTTCTGACAAATGGTCAAAATAAGCCAGGTAGATCGGATATTCACAAAAGGGAGAATGTCTCTCTAATCGAAATGTCTTTGAACGTATGGTGATATATCGCATAGTTGGTGATAGGATTTCCGACAAGATGTTTCTGACAAGTTAAATATGCAGAATTACAGTTCTAGCACTGAATACTCTTGATAACAAATCGCAAAGCAAACACTTTTATCCAGTATATATAAGAAAAATCACCGAGAACGAATGACCAGAATTTGGAAATTCACATACCTCGCTTTTGATCTCAACCGACATTTGTGCGGAAAGAAGCTTTTGTTCTTGATTCTTATGGTCTGCTTCGCTTCTTTTCTTGGCTTCTTCCTGTATTCCTGGAAGGTTTAGGAACTGCGCTTCGCCATGCTGCGATATAGCTTCCTTACGTAATCCGTTCGTAATGAAGGGGCGCACTCAGCTCCGGGCGTGCTCGACGCAAGATGCAAGACCTAGAAGACAAGACTGCAACAAACAGCGCAGAGTCAAAGCAATGAGATCCTTGACAAGTTAATGACACAATTTCCACCGATAGTCATCTCCTCAGAATAAATCAAAATGAGAGTTTCTTAGGCGCTGTTAGATTCTTTGAGACGTTGACAACATAGCTCCTTCCAACTACTCTTTTGGCAGCTTTTAACAAACAATTCAAAATTAGCGCTAAACTGACGGTGGAGGGCAGCAATCTTGAAAAAATCATTTGATTTGCAGCGGGATTCTGCACATGGTAGCTTCCACTCAGGTCCGCTTCTGACTTCAACACTCTGTCGCAGGGTATGGGTTTGGCACGTTTCCCTGGCGGATGAGCTGACTTGCCTTAGCGATTAGTGCGGGCAAGACTGATAGAATGCGTCCTCGCAAGGCGTGGCATCTTCCGTGGCCGCTGAAACAGAACGTTCGTCAGTGAAGCGATATGCGAGTAGAGGACAAGGTGCAAAAATACGAAGGATAGTCCATGGATGACTATGGAAACAGCTGATTTGCGCGCAAAAAGTGAAGGATTGAGCAAAGCGCATTACAAAGCGGATCATTTGAAGACAGCGCAATTATCGAAAATGCTCGCCATCGAAGAAATTTGCAGTAACGACAGAGTATGTTTACGATGCACGCTAATGACAGAAGAAAACATACTCATCTCATCACCGTAGTTGATTTTCGTAAATAAAATAGTGAACGAGGAGATGACATGTGGAAGCTTTTTCGATCACCCTTTTTCCAAGAAAGAAACAGTTGATCGGAGCTTCTGTCCTAAAATTCAAAAAATTAATGAGAATATGTGAGAATAGTATGTAAGCGCAACTTGTAAAGGATCTCACCACTGCATGTCGAGGACGTCTAAACATTGTTTTGACCAAAGTTGTTGCGTAACCGCAGGACTCGTACTAATCAACGAATCAGCTTGCGGATACGTAGACAACTATGGAAAACATGGAAATTGCCAAGATAAACATGCTGACTCGAACTAAGCCATTGCTGATATGCTGAGCGGTATATCCAGTTTTGAAGGTGAGGCGAACTGAACACAAAAAAACGGCATGAAAAGACTTGCTGAGATTTACTTACCTCAGTCGCAACGCTATTCATGGAACAACGTAGGCCATCATGACTTCCTGTCCTACGTCATGTTTGAGGAAATCATTCTATATACGCGAACACTAACAACTCCATGAATCCATGACCAACCTTTCCTCGAGCAATACCACCTATGACGACTAAGAGGAGCTTCATCCTTTCGTGATACGAGTTTGTTTGGTACAACAAGTTCTTCAGTGTTGTTAGAATTCTTCGACTTCCTACAGGCAGGTATTGGAGACAGGGTTTTTGATCACCTGAAAAGGCAAAAATAAACTATAGAAACAATTTCCTCTTTGAGCTCGATCATGCAAAACTAACAACTGCGACGCACTCTCAGTGTTTTCAATGTGAAGTTGAAGGCAGTGCTCACACCAATCCGATCACATGGTTTTCGGAACGAGGTGGACCTAACCAAGACTTGTCTTTACGGAAAGAGAGAGAGAGAAAGGGGAAGGAAGAGGGAGAGGGAGGGGAGAGAGAAGGGGGAAGAGAGAGAAAAAAAAGAAAGAAAAAGAGTTTTCCTTAGTAATGGCAGGAAAGCGAGCGGTGGCAGCCGTGAAAAACAGGGCGCGCGCGCCGGGACCACCGCTCGCTTTCCCGCTCTGTGCCGCATTTTCAAATTGCGGCTATGATTTTATATATTATGATACCATTCAAGTTGGAGTCTGCGATGGAAACCGAGCAACAGGGATATTTCTAAACCATATCCGGAACACTGGACGTAGTTCGATAAAATCAATCACTCCACTTGCTCTTGAAAAACATTCTATTCCACAGGTATAGACCAATGTTGATGAGAACAATCAAGAAATGTCTTTTACAAAACATGTAGCTCCGTTCTTCAACGTGTTTTTTTTGAAAGGTAAAAGTTGACATAAGGGCCCGTAGTAAACCCCCCATCAGGGCGTCTCTCGAGACGCGGACCGAAGTTGAGGTCATTGCGCCTCAGTCCAGCATGCGTCGACCTATTGATCTGGATGCGGATCGCTTTCTAGACATTATGATCAAGTGTGTTCTTGAGAAAGGAACCACTCGATCCGATTTGGTGAAACGGGTAAGTGATTGGAATTAAACGCGCACGGCTGTGGTTCGACTCCGTCGCGACACATCTTTTGCTGCATCGCGGGCGATCTTTGATAGCGGCCATTATCGCAATCGATGATGACCGCTATCAAGAATTCGCCTAGCAAACACACGGATAAAACAAAAATACACTTTGCAACGAAAATTTTATGGAAAAACGAAATGCTTGCGGCGTGAATTCAATGAAATAAATGAATGAGTTCTCGTTTTGGACAGCTTCTCAAAAAAAAAAAGTCGGTAAAGTTTACAAAAAAAGGAAAGTATTCGCTTTTATTGTTTTCCTCCAAAATCAGCTGTTCATCGATCCTCTCCTTTTCGGGCGCGGTTGTGCAGTTTTGCGCCTATTTTGTCTGCATTTTTTGGCAAAGCTGTGTGTATCGTAAGTTACTCAGGAGTAACTTATGTTAGATGCAGTCACCTCTTGTCTGCGTCTCCTCTTCTACACACTATTTGGATCACTCTAACATCCGTTCACGTTGAGGTGACTTGAACGTTAACTGATGTGGAAGAGTTGACTGCAGCAGGTGGACAGATCGTCAACTATCAGTTGACTTGACCATCTTATAGCATGGTAGGGTGGGCGGTCATCAGTTCACCTCACGTGCGGTGAACTGATGGGTTAAGTTGAGTTCACCTCAACTGATCAAGCTTTACTACGGGCCAAGATGTTACTATTGCCTTTACCTATGTAGAGCTTGCACAGACCTCATGTTCAAATTTTTACCAGTTCGCTCAAAAACTTTCGTTATTAAATCGCAAGTTTGGATGCAACATGTTTGTATAAACTCTTACGTGCTCGTTTTCCTCATTTTTTCATTTATGTTGATCTAGGTAATAGCTTTACAGCAAAGCATTTCACAAATAAGATCATTACCATTTATCGCTATTCTAAACGCTTAACGCATATGTAATCAAAAATTGCGACTGTGGAAAGTTTCTAGCCTGAGTTAACATAGACATCTGCTTACTCGCATGTACTCGTTTCTTTTATTTTTTAGCTCTTTGTTGCTGTGCATGATCATATCTCCCCCTTTCTGTCCCTACTGTAATCGCACCTAAACTTTCACAATCATACCTATACATAAAGCCATGTACTCTGGTAACCTTCACGGCGGCATAAAAAACAAGACCTTTTCGGGAAAAAATCAGTCATCCGAGTTGAGTCATCCTGGGCGAAGTCTCGAATGTCAAGATCATAACCAAATCGAAATAAATGTGAATAAAGCATGCATATGGATAGTATCCTCACAAAATCACGGCAAAACCAGAAAAGCTGCGTTTATATAGTTTCTTTACGTCAAAGGAAAGGTTTTTGTATGCATTTTCACTAAAACTTGAGACAAAATTCCTCTTATAAGCTTTTTTTAGGCTATCATCAAGTTCAAAAAGTTAAAAAAAGCTGTTAGAGTTTATTACAGACGTGAAACAGCGTTTGAATCTTGCGCCGAGAAGTCGAGGAAAATGCTGGTTTATCTCTTAATGAGTAATTTTCAACGCCTGCAACGTTGTCAGTGCTTCCAGACGTGTCATGACGATCAAAATCATATATAATGTTACAGGGTTTGGTTGAGAATCCGCAGAGATCTAAGACCACAGCCAAACTCCGGTACTCTTTTCTTCGTTGTTTTAACTTTCAGATAACTTCAGGGTGTCCCATAAGTTCCGTCCGTTTTGATTTTAGTCGCAATAAGTCATGAACTTCTTGATTCCAGGTATATTTCATAGAGCAAAGTAAGCTCTACAAGGCGACGTTCTCGATTTCGCACTATTTCAAATCCATCTTGAGTTTGCAGCCAGAAACACCAAAAAGCTTCAACCGGCCGAAATATAAAGAATAAATTGTATCTCATTCTAAAGGATCCTAAAGAATTCGAACGTTTTGACAGATGCACTATACACATCAAACATTGATATTAGGTCGCTCCGAAAATATGTCGCTTTTTTTCAAGCGTACGCTACATCTTGTGGAACAAAAATGTGGAGATCCTGGTAGCATTTGATGCAGCATTTGATTCTCTTTCTAACGGTTATTAATCACTGCGCAGAATTTGATAACTTCTCGAAAATTGATCAAAATCTGCGATCCATGCTTTTTGAGAAAGCTAAAATTCACAGTTTCTAAATTTTTATAACAACTCTTGGAAAGGCCCGAGTAGCGGATAAATAGAGTAAACTGTACAGGAAACAGCAAAACTTTTTCATACTTCCAGAGCTCGTCATGATTTTTATATAGATTTTTTGATGGAATTACCGAACTTTAGCAGGCTTGTTTCAGACATATATGCATCAAATACCAATAAATCTTTGGATTTTGAAACTTACAAAGATGGATTATGGCTTGACACTAATTTTACAAACCAAATTCACCGTTTCAGACCAGCAACTTTCAAAAATTCCAGGTACAGTCTGGGGCGCCCTGATCTGAGTTATGATGATTTTATTCCGGAAAATTTGATGAATCGGAAACAGAAAGCAACCGTGAAAGAGGTGAAAAAGCTGCGTACCCGTAATGATACCCGAGTTGCTTGCCGTTTACTGTTCTGTAAGGTTTAAGTTGAGCAAATATGGATTTTGATGGCATTGAAAAATTAATTTCGGAAACTCTAAGCAGCCAGCTAATGAAAAGAAGAAAATTGCTATGTATCCTATGAGGTTTGCTCTATCTACATGTCACTTGCATTTCTTCGGAGATTGGATACAAAAATTTAGAAAAATAACCGAACTTGACCATGGCAAAAAGCATGAGTTGCAGATTTTGGTATTTTTCGAGAGCTCATTGAATATTATGCATTGTCATTACAATCTTAGAAAAAGGGAAAATGCTGCATCGATTGGTTCTAAGATCTCTTGAAAATCTTGATTCCGTGAAATGTGGCGCTCATTTGGAAAAAAAATGACATTACTTTCGAGACGACCTAATAGATTGAAACATGTTTTTTTTGTATTTCATTGCGCCAAAGAATAGCATTGTTCAAGTATCTTGCTTTATTTATCCAGAAATAAAAAAGAATCTCTATATGTCAGTAGATTGTTTAAAAAAGCACGAAGAGCTCTTTCGAACGGTTTGTCACTTATTTTATGACTAGGAGGTAGAGAAGCGCAAGATTGAAAAATATTCAAAAAAATCTTGTTCAACGTACTCTCTTCTTCAAATCTGGGCAGCATGATGTATTGAATATAGTTTGTTGTGATGTCCGTCACATTCGTGCGGAAACTGACTCCATGGTGGACTAGAGACCTCCGAAGAAGACGGTATTTGTCGAAACGTAAGGTCAACAATAAAGAACCACCACAAAAACTGGTTGGTAGAACAACACTATGCAATATTCGATACATCATGCCCAGATTTGAAGAAGAGAGTACGTCGACAAGATTTTTTAAATATCTCTCAATCTTGCGCTTCTCTACCTTCTAATCATAGACAAGCGTCATACCGTTCAAAAGAGCTCTTCATGCTCTTTCAAACAATGTATGACGTATAAGGATTCCTTTATATTTTTGGATAAATAAAGCAAGATACTTGAAAAATCCGATTTTTTGGCGCAATAAAATACAAAAAAAAAATTATAAATTCGGAAAGTAGAAGAGATTTGAGGTATGCTGTATATGGATGGACAGAGCCTAAAGAGCTCTATCAGAAGACGGTAAAAAACCTTGGTTCCTTGCAAGGCAGTAAATAACACTTATCTTCGTTCTCGAAAATGCTAATGACATATCTCCTGACTTTGAATGTTGCAGCAAGCCATCGTAAGAGTGGTAACTGCCCCATCACTCATTGCAGCAGTGGTACCTAGGGGTTCTCACATATTTCACTGCGCAGAACTACTAAAAATTTATGATTTGTCAATGATTGACTTTGCGTTTCAGCCAGTATGAAAAATTTCAAATACGCAAATGACCTTATACAGGTATTATCTACAAGAAAATGATGCATTTTAACAACTTTTGAAATTGGAAAGTTCAATAACCTTTCTTCCTCGAAAAATCTACAGTTTTTCTCTAGGCATCCCATTTTTTACCGATAGATTTGGAATACTGCTACTAAAGCTCTACTTTGCATAAGTTCCACTGTGAAAAAATGCAAATTTTCAAATAGTCGAAGCAAGAATGTCAGTAAATAAAATGCCGCTTTCGAAGATTGTATCTTGCACCTGGATTGGTGCGAATGTGCAGCAAATATATATATTCGTTCTTGAGCAATTGATATACAAGATCCACACATGCGCTTCTTTCACACCTTCGCGTATATGAAGCTTCAAAATAAATGTGTACAATGCAGATAATGCAGAAGCCACTGCATTTTTATGATAATTCACAAATTTTTATTGCTTATCTTATCTCTTTTGCTCTCTTATTGCCAGCGCTATATGTGTTTGCTGAGTGCTGCGTTCTTCCTATGCTGATCATGTAAACCAAAGCTGTATTACAGGGCTCTGTGGAGCTTGTCTGCAAGAGCGTATAATACGATTGCGATGTTGCACCGTGGAGTCTTTCTCTGCGTTCTTATAAGTGTAAGCAGCATTTTCTCAAAAGTCAAACCTGATGAAGCATTTCAGTTTTTGGCTGTTCCGAACCTAGCCGATTTCAAATGGAAAAACTGCGAAAAAAGATATTATTATGGCCTGAGTTGGTATAAGGATTGGGTGAAAATGTTTTATGAAACAGTTCGTTCGCGCTGCAGAGGAGCATCACTGGTTAGCCATAAATCATAGCTGTGAAAATTGTAGTTATTTGAGTTAGTGAATATGGTTCACAGTTAGATCCACGCTGGGATCGGCACGAGCTGGACCCGGAGAGTTTTCGGAGCGAGTCCTCCTTTAAATCGCAAGAATTTTACGCACTCCCGCTTGATTAAACCCCTCATTTCTCCCTACTTGATTTTTTGCCCTTACATTTTTGTTGAACTCATCCTCACCTTAAGATAAAGGGGAAAAGCCGAAAAGAAGAAAATGAAAAAACCTCTACCTTTGCCTGCCAAACAAATAAATAGAGCAACAAACAAAAAAAGAGAAAGAACAAACCGACGTAAGCATAGTAGACACGAGTACCCAGCGAAAGATTAATTTGCGCTCTCTTTGCTTAAGGGCGAGCTTTGCAACCGAGCAGATTACGATGCTAGTGAAGGTTTCTTTGAATGTACAAAATTGTTGAAAGAAAAGAATATGCTACCGTTTTCCCTCGTATAAAAACATTTGCAGTAAAGGTACGATTTATGAAGAAGGTACGGATATTACGTGAGCGGTGGCGTACCAGTGGTATGCTAATGAGCACCAGTTTCAAGAGAAGGCACGCCGGTGGCGAACCCCAGCATGCTAAAAAACAACGTCATACTCATCCGCAAAAACCATGCCCTCTTTAGTTTTCCTTTTTTCAAAACGATTTTAAGCTTGAGCCGATTCAAGCTGCGCCGAGCCTCGACCCAAATCTATCAAAGAGAAAAATCTCAGAGTTAAAAGTATAACTTAGAAGCGCGCAGAGGCATCATGAGTTCAACGGACGCCAACCGACGAGAGCGTATCTTCACTATTGCAAAACCTGCGCTTCATACACTCTGCAAAAAATGAAACCGCGTTCGCTTTCCACTAGGAAAGCGAACGCGGTTTTTTTCACATGCAATGACTTGTTTGTTTCCACAGGATTATAACTGTAATACGGAAGGAGCTACGGACAGATATCCACGCCTGTGGTTATCTGACTTTACTGAGATTGAGGGCGATATGTTTGCAGCTCTTGTAAAGTAAGTTGCCACACACCTTTTCAATTTCTCATCGTTATAAAGCCATTTAGGTCCAGTCTACGTTATCGACCTGGCACGGCCTATGATGCTGTTCTAGTATTCACCGCGTATCAGCAATTTTGTGAGGTAAATTGAGCGATACACAAACTTTGAATTTTTTGCATGCTTCCCATATTATGTTGTATAGTAGAAGGCGCTTCAGCCCATCATATGCGTCTAAATAGGTCCGCTTGGCTGCTATGATCACCGCTCCATTTTTCAAATTAAAGCCTTCGCAAAGTGCAGCCAAAGTGACGCCTGAATTGTTGCACGCATATCAATATACAGCGATTGTTGTGAAAGAATGCTTCAAGCAATCGCAAGAACTAAGCTCTTTTAAAGCAGTTTTACAAAGAATAGTCATCGGTGTCTATCCTTTAAAAAGAATTAAGCGGTGATTGTGATAATGTAAGCAGAATAATGAGAGTGTGTACACGTACAAAGGAAGGTTACTTGGTCGAAGTGGGATTTCCATAAGAAATGTGTACTGACTTAGAGCATGAAACGCTGATTCCAAATCTGCTTTCACTATCTGCAAAGCGATTCTTGGAGGGTAGTTACGGGGATGGGGAATTTTGGGGCAGAAATTTAAGACTGTGACTAAGGTAAAGAAAGGTGTTGAAGTCCTTTCGGCCTTAGAATAACTAGCATAGGTTTATTGTGTAAATGTACCAACTCAGACAATCGCATCGGGAAGTTCGCGGGTGCTTGCTCGACCACCAATCATCCATGCCGCGAGCTGCCCGGTATAAACCGAAATTGGACCCGATAAGTGACCGCGGTGCACCCTGTAAGCGCCCGATAGTTGACCCGATTAGCATGCTTGTGAGGCCTAGGAAGAGTGAAAAATCTTGGGGTGTCTTTCATGACAACGACTTGAGCACAAATTGAGCAACTTGATAGCCCATCTGTCGACATTCATCTAATGTCGTCGATATTACTCATCCGACTGCTGAAGTTTATCTCATCAGCATAAAACCTCATCTCTGTCAGATAGGAAATCCAAGAAACGATACCCAGGCTCATAAACACTTAGGGTAGCCCCATCGCTGCGACGTACCTCACGAGGGTTGCGCCTTAAACTAAAGCGTGTAAGAATTGCGGCCTTTGATAGGGCCCGCGGCCCGCCGAGTGAGGTGGTTGGGCCGCAACCGTCCCGGTAATCTCTTCCCGATTTCAACTTTGGCCGCGGCGTTCCCGGTAAAATATACATGGGCCGCGGCGTGTGCGGCTGGAATCTTAAGGGCCGCGGCGCACCGTGTAACACGCTTTGAGGCCGCGAACTTTCCGATGCAATTGTCTGAGAATTGCATACAGCACCCAGGCAGTAATTATGACCCATTTGAGCTCTCAGAGTAGGTTCTGAATGATTTTATCTAGCTACGCGTTCAAATTTTTGCTTCAAAAAATTACAATAACTCCGCTTTCAAATGAGCTTTGTAGATATTTGAAACAAACTCGGAATCAGCGTTCCATGCTCTAAAAGACAGTACCATTTCATATGGAAACGTCACTTCGACCAAGTATCCTCTCCTTGTTAGTGTACCAGCCTATATTGCTACTTCGATGGCATATAAATTCATGCTCAGCCAGATTCCCACAACTTCCCTAATATTGCAGATACAACCGCAATAGCTTATAATCTTCTTAGATTCCAATTGACCGTAGTTAGGTTTATCCTTCTTACTTTCAAGTAGTACACTGGAAGGACTGTTTGATAAGGCAAAGCGCTGTACAGAATGTATTCAACCTGGCACTCAAAAAATTTGTTCCAAGCGAGTTTTACAGCTAAATTTCAGGTCCCAAATGCTCGTAATTCGAAAAAAATCGGATCTTTTTTCAGAAACCATTACAGACCTCAATTTCTGCTTCGAACATAATCATACTCTGCGTCGGGCACTTCTGTCAAGTCTGTCCGAGCAGTCTGAAAATGTCGTAAATGAAAGCTAGACCGGTAGTTTTGGAAAAATTCAATAGAGGATTCGTTTTATAACCCATCATGTGTACTAGATGATATCATTAAGCTCAAAGAGAAGAATACTTGTTGTAAGTAACCAAGGCCTATTGAGGTAAGATGTAACCAGTGTATTCTTCTTAGATGCTGACTTCAACTCTTTTCGTTTGCGAATGTCTTCTTGAAAAAGAGAGAGTTTTCAAGCCGCGCTTACGTCGCCAAGATAATCAGATTTACCTCAATGCCTCCCTTTTTCTGGTTGATGTTTTTCGAGATAATGTAAAACTCGCAGGAAGAAATAATAAATCAAAATTTTCGGTTCACATGCGGCACTGTAAATTTTGAAATACCTGCTCTTTGACTCGCATCATTTATTCAGATTGAAACAAGTCTGTGTTATAATCGATTTTTGAAAATTCTGAATTTTAATTCCCTAGTATTGGGCGGACTCACGAGTTAAGCGATTTCTTCAATCGCGACTTTAGAAAACTATTTCAAAGAAGTTGCGATTTTTGATTAAAGTGATGTCACGAAGGATTAGTGCAAAATCTTGTTTTATCAGATATTATGCGGATTCTTAGAATGTCTGAAAGCAAAGTTCTATAATTTTAAGACTGGGCAAGGTAATATTAGGTTGAACCGAAAGCTCATTCGCACCAAATTCAAAAATTCATAACTTCTGAATTTTCCAACCTATTGGAACGCTCCTATTTTAACATTATAGAGTAGGTTATGCTCTTTATAAAGACACATCTTAGCTGCTTACCAATAATCATCTCTTGCATAGATAGGAGCTGTAGAAGAAAATTAGTCGAAATTCGAATTTTCTGTGTAGAGTCATAAAAATCGGAAACTTGCAACAAAAAACGGAGCAGTCGGTTTTGTAGGTTCTTTCACCAGCTCTTTCTAATAGTGTAAAGTTTGCGCCGATTGAACGTCTCTATGAAAAGTTACGATTTCCCTGAAAAATGCCAAAATAAATCAAAATCGCCCTTTTGTATGGCTTGCTCGAAAATCGTAACTTTTCATAGAGACGTTCAATCGGCGCAAACTTTGCACTATTAGAAAGAGATGGTGAAGGAACTTACACAACCGACTGCTACGTTTTTTGTTGCAAGTTTCCGACTTTTTATGACCCTACACAAAAATTCAAATTTTGACTAATTTTCTTCTACAGCTCCTATCTATGCAAGAGATGATCATTAGTAAGGCTAAGATGTCTTTACAAAGAGCATGACCTACTCTTTCATGTTAAAATAAGAGCGTTCCAATAGGTTGGAAAATTCAGAAGTTATGAATTTTTAAATTTGGTGCAAAAGAACTTTCGGTTCAACCTAATAATTTGGGGGACATGGAAGGGTTATCTGGAAGACTCACAACGAATACATTCTTGTTAGAAGGAGGAAAAAATTGCAAGACAGTTGTCAAACTATCTCTATTCTGCCGGATTTGCAGATCCATCTGAAAAATCGCACTAACTTTCGAACCAACCTAATGCAGTGTCTTAAAATGCGCACTGCTTGCATTGATACGTCTCCAGCTTTAATGTCTTCTGCTTATCTCTAGACTAGTGAACTAGCAAGTGAGGGTGCCAGATTGCATCCGCGCGCTTCGGGACCGCTACGCGGATTCCCGCTATTTGCACATTTTTGAATTGCGCCTACGATTCTTTATATATTAGACTAGCTGGCTTACCCGGCTCCGCCGTATGTTCCGAATAGAAAATTCCATTTCTTAACCGATCCGGCTAAACTTGGCACACATACACTTCGGGCCCCGGCGAATGTCACAGTCCACTTTACGTTATCGATCGATGTCGATTTTATCGATTTTTTGCAAAATTTGAGCTAGGGGGCTGGAATTTGGCAGAGGGGTGTAATCGAGCATGCTGATCCCCCCTGTGCCAACTCCCAGCCCCGTAGCTCAAATTTTGCAAAAAATCGATAAAATCGATATCGATCGATGACGAAAAGTAGCCTATGACACCCGCCGGGGCCCGAAGTGTATGTGTGCTAAGTTTGGTCCCGATCGGTTCAGAAATGGAATTTTCTATTCGGAACATACGTACACACAGACAGACAGACAGACAGACAGACAAACAGACATTCAGCTTTATATATAAGATAGATACCATAAAAGAAATTTCTCAGGAAGTGACTTTACCTGAGTTTTCAGTAGGGAACGAGTCACCAATCCCTCTTCATTACCGTAGGTTTACGGTAGGATTTCAAAAAGAGTCCTAGCAAAAAAGTGACTTTAGTTAATTCGAGGTGACCTTTCCAAATGAAATATATACCATTCTGTAAAAATTCAAACGCTATTACGAGTCTGCTTTCATTAGTTGACTCTTAACGGCAAGTTATGAGTGTGCTCGTAAGAAAGGCAACTGAAACAATGGCTAGATTTGCTCCAATGCTGCAATACAGGGCGTCCTAAAAATAAGTACACACTTCCCATTGGGCATTTTCCGCCATTCAAGTACCATCTGTAGAGGAGGCTTCAGCTCAGACTTTCAGTATCGAGCGAATCACCGATCGCTCTTTTTGTAGGGTTACTGCAGAAACTTCGACAAGGCCATTGGAAGCCATATTCTGCCTCGGAACAATATCAAACAAGCTAAAAACTTATACTATGGTAATGGAAGCCGCTGATTTTGAATATGAAATTTCCATTTTACTGTGTGCTTCTTTCCAAATCCCAGGTAAGCCGTAGTAACCGAGTTCCCAGTATTTGTCAGAAATGTGATTACACCTTCAAATATCTGATGGCATATTTCACAATGGTTCTACATGTTGGGAGTTCTTACCGTAATCCTACAGTAGAAAAGAGCGATCGGTTAATCGATTGATACTATATAGCTAAATTAAAGCCTTCTCTACAGAATGGTGCTTGAGTGGCAAAAAAAGACGAATTGGAAGAGAGATACTGGCGATTGAAAAGTGTGTACTTACTTTCGGGACACCCTGTATAATATAGATTAGGGTACTTTAAGAGACGATCTTTTGTATAGGGTGTCCTAGAAGTATGTAGCACTGTTTGATCCTTAATATCTCTCTTCCCGCGAAGTCTTTTTCCGAGAACTTCAACTTAGGGTGGACGGTGCCTTCAACTTAGGCTTACAGCGCGGAGCAAA